AAAAACTTAAATCCAAATAATATAAATTATTATAATTTTATGCAAACCATCCATAAACTTCAAAATATTTTAACTCTAATCTCCTCGAGTATTTATTTATTAATTATTCGTTTACACATTTATTACATTGAGCAAAATAACTAATTTACATTAAATTTAATATTATTTATTTCAAAATATGTAAATATCTATTTATTCTACTATGCAAGAAGTACTCTTTAATCTTAAAAAAAGTTTGGCCACTAGAAGGTAATATAGCTCTTATCTTTTTCAACAATTATTTATTTATTTATTAGGTCTCATATTTCAAAGAGTTTGACTTTATATGGATGGGAGGACCTTTGGTATTTTTTTCTTAAGTCAATAATCATTCAAAAATAGAATCAAATTCTTATACTATACGATAAAATGTTCTTCTATTTATATATGAATAATGTTGATTGAAATGCACCCATCATTATTTTTCTTAAGTCAATAATCATTCAAAAATAGAATCGAATTCTTACCCTATAAGATAAAATGTTCTTCTATTTATATATGAATAATGATGATTGAAATGCACCCATCATTGGACTTCCCAACTTCTTTTACATAATGATAGATGGGGGGATGACAAAATTACTCTCATTTTCTTCGAGGTTGCACTCGCTAAATTTAAATTTCCAACAATCATACCTACTATCATTATGTAAAATTTCCTAAGATATATTCTAAAACTATCAAAGATATTGTTCAAAATTTCGTTCTCATTTGATTCTTAATGTGAAAAGGTTGGATTTAGTACACCCTTATTTGACATACAAGTTTTATCTAGTATCCCTCTTCCCCATAATTCTCACGTAAGAGCTATAATCAACTATCAAAACTAGGGATGTCAAAAATTGACCCAACTTGACTGGAAAAATTTGGATACATGTTGACCTGAATAATTTTCGAGTCGGGTCCAGGTTAAATATCCTAACTGTTTAATTTTTTAGATCGGGTTTGGGTTAACCAATTAAGCCTAAATTGACTTGAAATCAACCTATCAACTTGGAATTGGCGCAATTGAAACTCGAATAATTGTTATTCCTTATATTAAATATGTTTTCTATGTTGATTTTGGATTTGGCTTGTTGAAGAAGGGTTTGGTTTCTATTGAGATTTCTGACCCGTATAATATTTAGGTCGGGTTCAAGTTGTAACTATTCGGGTCAGTCCCGAACCCAATCCGCCGATACAAATTGACGCCCCTAATCAAAATCATAATCTTTGTAATATATCTTACTCTTTTATTAGAAACCCCACAATATAAGAATGAAATGTGATGGGCATGGCTTTATTGTGTGGAATGAAACCTTCTTTGCATGATTTGCTAGAAGCTTTGCTTATTGTTGACTATTTTTATCAAGTTTGGCATACACTATGCCCTTAGATTGTCTTCCTATGGATGGGTCAATATGATGGACGGGCAAAATATTGTTGATGATTTTCAAGCTCATCACGTTTATATTCAAATGATTGTATATTTTTTACAATAAAAAAAGCCAAAAAAATAACAAAACATCTATTTTTAACCATGAACGCACTCACACTCTTTTTTCTTTACTGGATCTCATAGGAGCTAATATTAATTTTTAAAATGGGCAAAATCGTAAAATGTCAAAAAAAAAATTTCGAGTATTGACCAAAAATATTATATCTGAGGGGTTATTTATTTATTTATTTGATATGAAAGATTTTGATGGTATAGATGTAAAAATTTAACTTAGGTATTAGATGTGCAAATATATAAAAATTAGGTGGTATACACGTAATAAGCATCATTTTTTAAATTTTTAAAATTTTTAAAATGAGGCCCACTTTCATACACCTTTGAAGAGAAGGGTTGGTTTTTATTGGGAGACTGCACACAACTCTGTGTGCGGTCACCGTATAAAATAATTTTTGCCACAAGTAGGCACGCTAATATCCGACGGGCCACATAAATTATTTTTTAAAACGTTTTATCAAATGTTAATTATTATGCGATATCAAAATGGAATTAATAAAACGACCACAATTGAACATTCTATCAAAATATGCTTATTTAAAACAATTCTTTATTAATATTGAAATGTTGATAGAAAATTTACCAGTTAAAATAAGTATCTTGACATAAATATTTGATTAGTATTTTAAAAATTAATTTTGAAGTCATAATGTTGGATCTGAATATGACATTTAGATCATGCCGCGACTACTCCCAGCGGAGCAAAGTGTGGGTGCCTCTGAGAAAAAAATATTACGTTCGGACAGCGAATGCGATGAACGGAGGAAAGGAGGGAAAAAAATCCACCTCCCCATGCATCACGCCTGTTGCTCGAACGCAGCTTGCATCCGGACTCCGAACGCAATATTTTATGTTCCCTTGGCTCTCGAACCCATTTTATATATTATAAGATTGTTTACCGGTGAAGGGAAGAGTCAAAGATGACATCGGCTCTAGGAGAACAAATATACATGTCAAAGCTTGCCCCCCATTTTATATATTATAAGATTGTTTACCGGTGAAGGAAAGAGTCAAAGATGACATCGGCTCCTCTTATTTATTAATTATAGGAGAACAAATATACATGTCAAAGCTTACCCCTCGAAGTTCTTTTCATTGCAACATTCTCATGTCTTTGGAATCTTTTCGTACCGATAAGCACATTTTCACATTCATGCCTCTGGCACATTTTCGTATTGATATTTCTTCGTATTCAGAGGCACTTTTTGATTATACACATATGCCCTCAAGTTTCTTACTTCATGAAAGTGAAGTTGCGATAAGAATGAGGCTATTAATATGCCAAAAAAATGCAATCATAATAATGCACCAATTATACTCCATCAATTTCTTCATCTCTCATCGCCTTGTTTTCTCCAATCCCGAAGTGCCCTTTTAAGGTCTTTTCGGGCCAATTTTTAATTTGTCACTTATGGTTCGTTTGGGGAGGCGGTGCGCACCACAGTTTTGTCTGTTTGGATAAACTGTGTTTTGGCAACTTTTTCAAAAAACTACTGTTGAGATCTGTGTTTTCTCACTAGTCATGTCTAGGTGTGGTGACAGAATTCTAGCTACCGTCTAACTTTTTAAAAAAAGAGAAGAGATTTTTATAGTCACCACAGTATTTCGAATATCAGATTATTTCTCAACAATTTTACAGTTATTTTTTAATAAGCTACAACTGCCCCAAACATACCATTAATCAACACTTTAAAGAAGTGTTAGTGATTACTCAAGAAATAGATAAAATTCTCGACCAATTTTTATCTTTGCTTATTTTGTATATTACTTTTACCACACAATTTAATTGTGCCAGTTGGACATTTTGCAATAAAGAAAGCAAATTTAACAAAGCTCATTGTCACCCAATCCAACTTGATCAAGACATTTAAATTGAAAAAAAAAAAAAAAACATGATTAAGGGGGATTAACAAAAGACCATTTGGTGAATTGTTAACCTTAGGAGCTTAATTCGAACATGAGCTCATAAAAATAAGCCAAACACAAACAAAGTCTTAGCTCGCTCAAACTCCAAGCTGACACCCATCATTAGTAACAAGATTGATGCCTGATGTTGACGCCTACAGTCATGAAAACTCATCGTTGTCTCCAAATTAGACATTTTATTACCACCAAAGTAAATATTTCTCATCACAACACTAATATTGAAACATACCAACTTCATCAAAGTTGATGCCCCCTTTCCCATGCCTGATGTTGACGCCTACAGTCATGAAAACTCATCGTTGTCTCCAAATTAGACATATTTTATTACCACCAAAGTAAATATTTCTCATCAACAACACTAATATTGAAGCATGCCAACTTCATCAAAGTTGATGCCCCCTTTTCGGTTATCGATCACCCTCACAAATAGGATGATTACATATATCATAAAGAATCTCTTGATGACAATTCAAATGTACCAAAAGCAAAACTCCTCTTACTTGCATCATAAAAAACATCCTTCATAGTTCCTATTTACTAATTACATCAATAAATGCCTTCTTCGACTTCAAAAAAAGAATAAGCTTTACAATACACAACTCACATTAATAAAACCATTTCCATGATCACATACACACAACTCAATTCTTATGCATCTACATATCCAAAAACGTGTACTTCACTTTTTACAAGTAAAAGTTATGAAATTATTGATGTTATATGAAATATTAGAGCGGTCAAAAAAAAGTAAAAAATAAATTTTAATAGAAATTGGGTGTTGCGCACTAAAAGCATAGATCATGTGCCTTAATTCGAACCGCAAACTTATAAAAGATTATCTTCATGATTTGAACATATGATCTCCAAGTTAAAATGGACGCCTTCCTAATACATTTGATTTGAGCCCCAAGTCACTAACCAACAAGCTAAAATGAGCTGCCATTTTAACTTTAGGTCTAAACTAGCACATCTTCTCATTCTTGATATTTTCATATTAGCTACACCCATAATTTATCTTATTATATGTGTGCAAAATATAACCACTCAAGACAAAATAATTAAATTAAATAACCTACATAAAAAAATATATATTAAACTTTATTATTTACATTAAAAAAATAATAAATTTTATTATTTACATGAAAAAAAAATAATAAATCTTAAAAAAGCAATTAAAAAGAAAGGAATCTTCCTCTTTTCTTTTGGATACAAACAAAAAAGTTAAATTACTTCTTAATTCAGAGGACTCTTCCTTTGTCTTTTATTTATTTATTTATTTTTATTTTTTTTAGCAAGAATTTTTCAAGCTCATCCACTCCTTCGTATTCTAAAAAAAAAAAGAAAAAATAAATACAAATGACATAAAAATGAAGAAGAAAAAAAAGGATTATAGTGAAGTTGAGAACATAAAACAAAGATCAATTCTCGTAATTAATTATACATCGAATTAAAGGATCAAGAACACACAAAAAGAAAAAAAAATTTAAAAAAAAACACTGAAACAGAGCGGCGATTATAGAATATAGAGAATAGGTGTCGGAATCGGAACTGTGCACCTGCGGCGAAACAGATCTGAGCATCTTATCCTCCCCCACCTGCAGCGCCCCCTGAACCTCCACCTCTAGGGCGCGGGTAATTAAGATTCATCCGCTCAAAGTATCCGATCGACAGAAGCGAGAGTGAGAGATGTACCTCATCCTTACCCCAGCTCGCGGGAAGGCCCGTAGGGTTTCGAGGGGCGGCGAGAACGGGGATCGGAATCGCCGGGCGGAAACGACTGCCGGAGACTGTCGGTCGAAGGAGCGGGAGAAGGTAGAGGGAGTGAAGTCGCCGGAATCCGCCCAGCGCGAGCACTACTGACCGGAGCTGCTGGTTTCCGCAACCGATATTGGCCCAGTGACGAGTACAGACTGCTTCCCAGAGACGCTCGTCTTCTGCAAGCGATCGCCACCGCCGGCTCACGCACGCCGATGCCGCCAGAGATCTCGCATCAGCACGCTTCAGGATCTCGAAAACTAGATCCTCGCCTAGCTCCGGCGTCGGATCTTCTTCCGGAGCGGAAAGAATAACTTCAGCTTCCTCTTGCCCTCCGCCATCGAGCTTAGGCCTTTTTTCCTCCACCTCCGGCGGATCTCCGGCTTCCGATCCGTCAATTGGTCGCCGCTTCATCGAGCTATAGCGATCGGAAGTCTCTCTCTCTACCTCTCTGGTGTTTGAGGAAGAAGAGACGATTTTCAGCGGTTTTGTTGAATTTATTTTGAAAAGAGCCGTGAAGGAAACAAAAATTACGAATTTGGCCGTGGCATTTTCACTTGGGTCTCATCGCCGCTTGTTTTTTTGTGGAATCCGAAATGACGATATTACCCTCAGATTTCTAGTTTTGTAGCCACCCGCGCGGCGTTTGCTTGGTGCGGTAGACGGTAGCTGATGTCCGAAGGAAAAATGGCTTATATATATCCAAGATATCCAATGTTATAAAAATTAGACCGGACATCAAATGCATTGAACCGGATACTTAATAAATATACATATTAATTAAAAATAATCTAAATAATAGTGATGAGTGCAGGAAAATTCGTGGCGGTAAGGCGGTGAAGTAATGGATTATCATCTTAGCGTTGTACGAGAATTCAACACATACACAGATGAAACAGGCGTTGTACGAGAATTCAACACACACACAGATGAAACAGAAAAAACAGTGATGACACCATAAGTTTTTACGTGGAAAACTCATAAAGGTAAAAAACCACAAGGTCTGCCCAGTTATAAAAATCCACTATAAGTTGATGATTACAACGGCCCCTTGTTCCACAGACATGAAAGGGTTACTAGATTTTCAGATTACAGCGTCGTCTGACGGTGTCCGATCAACGGTGGTCGGTAATGATCGACGGTGGATGACGGTCAGCGGCGATCGACAGTGGTCGATGGTTGTCGGTGGTGGTCGACGGAGATTGGCGGTAGTTGCCTACGATCGGTGGTGGTCGACGGATGTCAGCGGTGGTCGACGACGGTTGACGGTGGTTGACGGAGGTGCCGATGATTGGCGGCAATCGACGGTGGTCGACGGTGGTCGACAAAGGTCAGCGATGGTCACCGACGATCGGTGGTGGCCGACGAAGGTCGATGATGTCAGAGATGATGTTGGACTTAAGCTCTTTCTCAAAGTCTCAAGTTCTCTCTCGAGCCCCCCAATCTCATGTGAGGGGCGGGGCTCTATTTATAGTGTTATGGGTGTAATTAATACAGAAATATGAACCATTTTCATCAAACGGTCAGTAAAGCTTCCCTCGATTAGATGATGTTTGATGGACATTTGAGTGTCTTAACAATGTCGGAATTGAGCAATCATGAGCTTGTTGGATTCGTCTTGTTGAGACACTCGATTCAACTATGAACTCACTCAATTTGACACTTGTTTGATCTTTCAAATGTGTACGAAAATCTTTCAAGAATGATTTAATCACTTGATCTAGGCTTGATTTGACTCGGATTGGACTAAATTCGATATCATTAGGTCTGTCTCATCAAGCCGGTCAGTTTGACCATATATTTGTTGAAATCGGAGATCAGGATGACTTTTTATCAAGATTTGAATATTTTCTACTTAAATGTAATCTCGAGATTCGTCTCATACCTCGAGATTCATACCAGATGATGAAAATTTGTTGGTGGTGTATCAAATAGTATAATAAATTTTTAATAAAAATATTTTGGGCTAAATTTATTAATAAGCCGAACATGTTCATTCCTATTAGATTTATTTGACTCGAAATAATTTAAAAATTGAATAATAATATTTATTTATATTAATCTCTTATATGTATTAAATAAATGTTCTTTTTTTACTTTTAAAAATTATTTAAGTGATATATTTATAAGAAAATGCAAATCTAGGTGTTAGATATTCAAATAAATAAGATTTGAGTGGTATGCATGTAAATATTCCTAAAAATATAAAAAAATATTAGATATGTAAATAAAAAAGAATTGAGTGGAATATAAAAAATAAAAAAGTGAGGAGTTGGGTATGTAAATAAATAAGATTTGAGTGGTATGCATGTAAATTTGCCTATAAATATAAAAAAAATATTAAAGTTTAGGTGTTAGAGATGCAAATAAATAAGATTTGAGTAATATGCATGTAAATCTTCGAGCTATCTTTAGTCCCACTTCTACTTTTACCCTTCAAAATTCTTCATTCTAAAAAAACGAAGACTTCACTTTTTTTGGATTTCCAAAAAAAAAAAAAAAAAAAATTTGTTGCATCTTCAGAATTTCAAAACGTGCCCTATGCATTTCCCAAAAATAAATTAAAAATATATATATAAAAGTGGTCCATCTGATTCTTGCCCGATTTGACCGTTCAATATGGTTTTCGCTGGTAGTCTGCCCATAACCGGCCCACTGACCGGTTGATGATCGATCTGGTTAAACACACATGTTAAATCCGATTTTTTAAACCCAAATAATATGAAAATCTTAATAGCATAAGTTTAATGAATGACTAAAGAGTGCTTTTATAAAATATTGTGTTATATTTATTGAAATGATTTTCATGGTTAAAGATGAGATGTTCTTAAAATCTCATGGAGAAGGATGCCATGGCAGCGGACACTACAAGAGCTAGAGAGACAGACGGTGCACTACGAGCTCATTTTCTTAAATAAGAATGCCCCAATCATGTCTTTTGTAAATGGGCTTATAACATCACTACAACATTGAGATTATGAAGCTATTCTAAACTTGAAGAAGAGATCTATTGAGTTATTTAAGAAGACAACATCAAAGATGTTGATTTCGAGCAATAACTTGTTTCTATTACTAATAACTAAAAATGCAAGTTATTTTCTTGTTTCTATTACTAATAACTAAAAATGCAAGTTAAATTTTTTTTTACTATTTCGAGTTAGAATTATGATGAAGAAAACAAACATTTTTATTTTTTAAGAGATATTGGAGAAGTTAGAGAAATAGCAAGTTATAAGTTTGTTCATTTTATTAAAAGAAGGAAAAAAAAGTAGAATTTTATATTTATTTCAAGGTTGAGAAGTGGATAAAGTAGGCAATAGAATAATCAAGCAACATCAAATACTCTAATAAATCTTGAATAAAGTTTTTGAAAAGGGACATTTGGAGAGGAAGAGGTGGAGAAAGAGGAAAGCAAAAAGGTACATGTCACTAGCCCAACATTTAACTTTACTAAGGTTGAAGATGAGGTACAATTAAAGAAGGACCTTTTGTTTAATATTTTAATTAGTCTTGTTCACCTTCTCAAAACATATGTTATATGTTCACATTCTTAAGAAAAGTTTGGGGGTGGGATGGGGGAGATAGAGTGGGGATGATTTACATGCATGGCATACAATTCTTATGTGTCGATGTAACTAACAAATTAAGTATGATATTTATAGCTTATCTAGCAATTTACTATCACAATCACGTAAAGAATATGCATAATGTGTTCACTTTAAGAAAATTAATATCAGTGTTATTTTTAATGTAATATGTATTTTCACTTTAATATAACTAGTTTTAATGATATTTTTAATAAAATGTTAAGAATTTTGGTATTATAGAAGAAAAAAGCATGTTTAATGGCCAACCTAAACTCAGGTTTTATCAAGATAACACCAAATGACATGTGAAAATTAAGCCTATGCAGACTCCTGACGTAGTTCTACGTGCGGCGGAGCTTATTCCTGAGTTATTTTCAAGGTATTTCTGAATAATCCCGAAATAACCTAGAAATAACCTGCAGACTTTATTTTTGGGTTATTTTGAGATTATTGAAAATAACATGAAAATAACTCAGGCGTAATCTCCGCCGCACGTAGAGCTATGTCAGGAGTCCAGACAGAAAATACGCTCTTGGAACATAGGCTCACCGTTTGTCCTATGTAGCTTTTTTGGCGCAAAATTAGTTTGTTGAGTAAAAGTGGTAGCTCCTTTGACTTGATGGTTTATCTATATTTAGCAAAACTTTTTTTTCTTTTTGGAAATCTAATTTTTCTTCTTTATTATATATTTACCATAAGGAAATTACTTATTGTCATGAGAGATTATGGTTATTGTGAAGAGTTATAAGTTCATATATTTCTGGTAGGAACGTACTTTTATTTCTACTACTGACATTCAATCGCTTTATGTTCTTTGCTTTTTCTTCATAAATGTTTTACTAGTATAGAACATGTCGCATGGTCCATTCACTTTTAATTGCTTTAATTTTGGAAACCCATTTACATATTGCACTTTACTATCACTTCATATACTTTGCAAATAAATAAATAAATGAATAATTGACAAATTCTTAAGAAAATCACTAAAAAATAGTGTTATTAATCCTATCACAACTTATTTTCATGATTCATACTTAAATGTTAGACATGTGGCTAATAAGTCCAATCCTTGAGAAATAAAAAAATATCAGAGAAAAGGATAAATCTCTACTGTTAATGATGAATGATAGAGGCTTTTATTATTTGATATGTTTTTTTATCAAGAGATTTTGAGTTTTGGTTATATTTCAATATCTCATGCATGAGAAAATAATACGTTCATTGTCCGGTCATATGGATGACGGTGTGGATCGCACCATCCTGTACGTGTGGTGGCGTGATACGATCTACGTTGTCAACCTAAAGTCTGGTTTATCGGACATAATTTTATGAAAAGTGAAGGAAATTCTTTAAAGTTTTCGTTCAGGAAAGCATAAAATGGGCTTCTTATATCCACTTATTCATGGAGATTTGTGTTTATAATAAGTCTTTGTTATTCACCAAAATACTTAGAAAAATATGTTCTTACCAAATGTACAATCCAAACAAGTGTTGATGTTCCAGCACTAAGAGATAAAATAGAGAGTGTGTGCGAGTAAAACAAAATAATAATACCATATTATTCTATACATTCAATCGCTTTATGTTCTTTGCTTTTTCTTCATAAATGTTTTACTAGTATAGAACATGTCGCATGGTCCATTCACTTTTAATTGCTTTAATTTTGGAAACCCATTTACATATTGCACTTTACTATCACTTCATATACTTTGCAAATAAATAAATAAATGAATAATTGACAAATTCTTAAGAAAATCACTAAAAAATAGTGTTATTAATCCTATCACAACTTATTTTCATGATTCATACTTAAATGTTAGACATGTGGCTAATAAGTCCAATCCTTGAGAAATACAAAAAATATCAGAGAAAAGGATACATCTCTACTTTTAATGATGAATGATAGAGGCTTTTATTATTTGATATGTTTTTCTACTATGAGTCTATGAGATTTTGAGTTTTGGCTATATTTCAATATCCCATGCATGAGAAAATATTACGTTCATT